GGACGATGTTTTTAAGACAGTCGCGTGCTGCGCTTCTCTCTCCTGTCGCGCGTTTAGCACGAGCGTCGGGCGAGGAAAAAGCTGACACCGTTCGCATCCGTGTTGGGCAAGACTTCAAAACAGGTTTGGACGCGAGAGTGTGTCAACTCAAGATGTGCTGGCAGTGAGCGTGCGACTTGGATTGGTACATGCTCCATGAAGGGCTGAAACCGGGCGTTCTTGTACGCCGTCGCCGGGGAGCGTGGAGGGGTGCAACATGAACAAGGTATAGCAATGTGGAATACATGGGCGGAAAAGGATGGGGTTAGCTGGGGGTAGGTATGCGCGTCTCGAACCGTCGCAGAGGGTGCTGGTACGAGCGGCTGGGCGCCGTGCATTGGAAGTCGTAGATGCTTAGATTCCTGTCGTAGTTGTGGGAGGCCAAATCATGGTCCGGTGTCGGCTCTGGATAAGCTTTGCGCTGTTTTGGATCGCTTTCACGGGCGGAGTCACCAAATTACGCGTCATCCCCCCTGCAGTGCACCCTCTCCGTCCCTCTCCTTATTCAAGACCTCCGTCGTTCCTTTAGGCCCCTGATTCACAAAGGCGGGGGGGGGGGCCGATCCCCTCGTCGAACCACAAGCCCAGGTGCACCCCTCTGTCGCTTCTCATTCGCGATAGCTGCTGAAATACGTGGATGCATCGTGATTTCAAATTTGACTGGGAGACGGCGGGATGACGTAGGACTCGAGGATATTCGAGGCGAGGAGCGAGAGATGAGGTTAAGGGGTCATGTGTGTGGGGAGTTGATCGCAGTCATGGATGGTCCCACGCAATTGGAAGAGAACATCTGGGTCGATGGTGAGCGTGTTGAGGGCGACCTAAGAGGAGATGTACATAAAATGACACATGACGAAACGACGGCAAGGAAGGGTAGCCAAGAGAAATTCCGTTAATAAGTCACCGGGCGGCCCCTGGTTCAATTCCGGGTGATGACCTTCCTTCTTTTGTTTTTCCATTGCAACATAAGCTTACCCCTCCTGTTCTCCACGAGCTTCTTCATGTCACACTCTCCCGTACGCGTGCGATTCACGAGCAGCATCCCACCAGGCCTCCAGCCAACTGAACTTGCTTATCCCATCATGATCACGCATCCTTCCTAAAACTTGGGACACATCACTATTGCATCACTATCTCTACGACAGCTGAGCCTTCCACTCATCCTCTCACCCCACCTCTCCTGTGATCTGTAGACGTCAAAGTCGGACGCGTCGCCTTTGCCGATATGTAAACACGCGGAACAATCAAGGCACGGACGCGTAGATGCGTCCTTTGGGCAAACTGCCTCCCGGGTCAAGTTCATATGTGGCATACCGCTCTCTCGACGGACTCTCCTACACCAATTACACGCCCTCCGTGGTCAAGACACCCACCGGACCCTCCTGACCTCCATTCGGCGTGGCCCACGTCTACCCAAGTATACCTTCGTGCGACGTGTCATGTATGTACTACGTCTCTCCAACCGGCCCTTGGCATACTCATCGGCAGCACAGGTATTTTACTATAAGTGAGCTGTTGCTCGCCTCCACCCCCGCAGCACGCATGCCCCCTCCCCCACCCTTTCCTCGCCTCAAGTATTCCCAAACCCAACATCCCGCCCCGCCTCTCCTAGCTGTCCGACTTCAATCCACACGTTTTAGAACACGCCGGTCCCTCATGGCCGGACAGAAGAGGAGGACTCCGAGTGACGAAAAGACGCACCCCACCCAGGAACGGTCAACGAAGATGGGGCATTCGCCTTTGCAAGTCCCGGGCCCATCAGGGGTTGAAGGAGATGAGGAAGAGAGGGCTGGGATTTTGGCAGCGGGGACGACACACTCTCGATGCGAAGGAGGCTTGCGACGCACTCTACCTAGGCGACTCGGCGTCAATCAACCCTCTCCAGCCCAGTTTCCCCCCCAACAACAACTCCAACACATCTCTAAATATCTGTACGATCTGCAAAACACGTACCAGTACTCCCTTTTCCTCCCGCCCGTACCGCGACGTATCCTCCGCGTTGAAGCTTTGGGTCTTTTTAACCGCCAACTCGAACTTACAATAGGCCTTTGCGAGGTGAAGAAATCTTCGGATGAACACATCAGAAAGTCAGCATCCTGAACCACCCACAGGTTTGTGTTTTTCAACTTTGGATACCAGCAGAAACAGATTATTGTACTCCAACGCAGGAAAATATAGCGAACAAGCTCAAAAACTCTGGTCGACCTATACCTCCGAAGCAGAACGCCGTGACACCAATGTTACAATACATGGAAAGCCAACACGGACAGCACAATGATATTCGTGAGGCCCAGATCCAAATAAAGGCGCGACAAGCACACCCACCCGTCTCTCTTCTCTAGGCCGGTCTTTTTTCTGCTACGGTCACCGCTTTCATTGTCGAAAGCTACAAACTTCTCAAACCAGACTCGGGTGATGTCACAACAGCCTTCCTTGGGACGGCGTGCACCAATTGCTCGACATTTCAAATAACAGACCTCATGACGCGTCGGTTTTCGCCTTCGCATTTTGCAGTCTTGTGGTTCCTCAACCTCGCGTGTAACATCGCTGCCGCTCTTTGTGCAACACTCATGCAGCAATGGGTATGGGGCTACCTTCGGCGCATCCAGCCACACTCAATCCCCTCGACGCGCCAGGTTTGGGCATTTTTGTCTGCGGGAAGCGAGAGATGGAGGATGGACCAAGTCGTCGAAACCATACCTCCTCTCCTCCACATGTTGCTGTTCTCCTTCCTCACAGGCCAGGGCCCGTTCGTTTTCCTCTCTTCCCTCAACAAAGCAGTGACGCGCTGTCGCCTCCATCGTCGCATATTTCATGTGCTACTACGGTCTTGCGACCTTTGCGCCCCTCCTCGAGCCCTTCCCACCGTTCGAAACGCCACTTGCATTTATCTTCTGGCACCTCACACTCGTTTTGCGTGGAAAGCTGCCCCATGGGTTCGGAGATATCGGGATATACTCATATACACCACGGCCACGGCGGATCTGGCGGACGTGCGCGTGCGACTTGCTATACACACGCCGGGGGATATAGAGAGTGCTGCGCGACAGGACGCGAAGGCGATGCAGTGGGTGCGCGAGAGGATCACGGATGATCGCGAGCTCGAGTTGTTCGTGGACGGTATTCCGGGGTTCTTGGGCTCGGATAATATCAATTCAGGAGGGTACAAGAAGGGCGTGGTGGCGGCGGCGATAGCGATAGCGATGGAGTTACAACGTGCATATATGCAAATACACCATGCGCAGCCGAACGGCGGTAACACGAGGCTTCCAACGCCCAGGCCCAAACTCGTGTCCCAACACCATTCTAGGTATAGCTGAGCGTGCCCAGCCCAGCCCAGCCTCCCATCCATCCAAGACGGCAGGTAGCGACAAGCGACTTTAACTCCCCCAAGCGGGCTCAAGAGTGTCAAAACAGCCTCCCCCCAAGGGGCCTTGCGAAGGGATTCACAGGCGCCGGCGTGCTCGGGGCTGGGGATGAGGTTTACGCGAGGAGGGAGGAGGTGGGCACGGGAGGGAGGAAGTGGCGGAGGAAATGAGTGCGCGGATTTCGGAGGAGGTGAGCTTGCGGCCTGATTGGAGGTAGGCAAGGCGGAGTTCCTGGGTGGGAGGGTTAGTTAAGAGGGACAAGAAGGGATGGTTTGGGATGTGGTGGAGAAAGGGAGGGTGTGCAGGAATGTGGGAGGAATAGGAGGGTAGGACGGAGGATGGAAGGAGTGGGGTAGAGGGATGGGGAGGAAGGGAGGGACGATGGAAGGTGGAGCGGGGATCCCGACGCTAGCGATGAAGGGGAGGGTGGGTGGGGAAGGAGGAGAGGTGGACAGAAGGGCGTGGAGGTGCGATCTATGGTGGGGCATAAGAGACGATGGAGAGTGAGCGCGGCAAGAGGAGGGTAGAAAAGAGCCCGACGTAGGAAGGAGACGGGGAGGAGGCCGATGGAGGGGTAGGAGTATGAAGGGGAGGTGGTGTGGTGGATGTATCGGTATGAAGGACGTTGGACAGTGGAAACCAATCCCAACGAACCCACTCACCTCGAGAATATGTCCCGCCCACTGCGCCTGCGCACTAATCGTCAACATCTGGTCCCCATTCGTAAGGGGTAGTCCCGCCGCGGCATTCGCCTGCGCCTGCGCCTGTGATATCCCGCCATCACCCGATCTCGAATTTGATGAACTCGACAGGGTCCCCTGTGTCTGCACCGCGAGGGAGGGCCCCATCACGAAGGGGGACATGGGCGTGCCCGGGGGTGGGTCCTTGTGTCGCGCGATATAGGCATAGACTCGGAGCTCCTGTATGGTGCACATGTTTGATTAGAGAGGAAAGGAGGAAGGGAGGAGAGAACGCGAACCTCGTGGCTGAACTCGCAAATGCTCCCATAGCCCCGATGCACTGCAGCTCGTCCCCTTCCACCCTCGTCTCTCTCCACCCCTGGATCATAGGCAGCTTTGTCGGGTCCGTTATCCTCTCCTGCGCCTCTCCCCTACCCCTAGACCCCCTAGACCCCCTAACCCCAATGCTCCTGGTGCGGCCCCGGACAAGGAGGACTCGGCGACGGGTTTGAATGGCGGGAGGGACGTGGAGGGGAGGGGCAGACGCCCAGAGGTGCGGTAGGAGGTTAGATAATCTGCTATTCGTATTTCCTGAGGGGGGGCGTCAGTTGGGTTGAATAAGAGGAATAAGGGGCAAGGACAGACCTCGAAAGATTGGCCGGGGGACTCGTACACGGCTGGGAGATACATGAGGAGGCAGTCGGGCTGGGGCTGCGCGAGTGACATCGTGTGTGTGTAACTGTGAGTGGTCGTGTGAGTGGAGTAGTGGGAGGTGAACACTGAACAGCACTGAACTCGAAGGTGCACACTGCAGACGCGATCGAAAGCGGGCCCGACGGGGCACGTGGGGTGGGGAGAAGAGGGGCGTGGGAAGGGGCCAGGAGACTGGGACTCTGTGGGAGAAGAAACGCATGGGCACATGGTGTAGTTGGTTATCACGCCCGCTTAGCATTCAAGGGCCTGTAGACGAAGTTTGCGGGCGGTCCCCGGTTCAATTCCGGGTGTGTCCAATATCGAATGTTCGCGTCCCGTAACGCCTTGTGGTCACACTGTTGTTCTTTCCAGTAACCCATTGCTGTTCCTTCCGCTCATCGCCTCGTCCCGCCTCTCCTGTAGTCTATCACTGGGCGTGGACGCTCGTGAACTTTCTGCTTTTGTTGGATTTGTTGTTGTGATGCACGAAGGGAGTCGCGGGTGTAGAGAAGTCGAGGAGGAGTCGGATGGGAATGGGAATGGGAGTGCATGAAGGCAAGTGAAGGAGGTATGGGAACATCAAGACACGAGCACGTCTATCATCGTTCTCGTGCGTTCTACTAATGCCAAGGGCAACATCAATTCTAATAGCGTGTCCCACCTGCACTAATCGTCAACATCTGGTCCCCATTCGTAAGGGGTAGTCCCGCCGCGGCATTCGCCTGCGCCTGCGCCTGTGATATCCCGCCATCACCCGATCTCGAATTTGATGAACTCGACAGGGTCCCCTGTGTCTGCGCCGCGAGGGAGGGCCCCATCACGAAGGGGGACATGGGCGTGCCCGGGGGCGGGTCATTGTGTCGCGCGATGTAGGCATAGACTCGGAGCCCCTGTATGGGTGAGGGTGTTTGATTAGAGAGGAAAGGAGGAAGGGAGGAGAGAACGCGAACCTCGTGGCTGAACCCCGCAAATGCTCCCATAGCCCCAATGCACTGCAACTCGTCCCCTTCCACCCTCGCCTCTCTCCACCCCTGGATCATAGGCAGCTTCGTCGGGTCCGTTATCCTCTCCTGCGCCCCTCCCCCTCCCCCTAGACCCCCTAACCCCAATGCTCCTGGTGCAGCCCCGGACAAGGAGGACTCGGCGACGGGTTTGAATGGCGGAAGAGATGTAGAGGGGAGGGGAGGACGCCCAGAGGTGCGGTAGGAGGTTAGATAATCTGCTATTCGTATTTCCTGGGGGGCGTCAGTTGGGTTGAATAAGAGGAAGAAGGGGCAAAGACAGACCTCGAAAGATTGGCCGGGGGACTCGTACACGGCTGGGAGAGACATGAGGATGCAGTCGGGCTGGGCTTGCGCAAGTGCCATCGTGTGTGTGTAACTGTAAGTGGTCGTGTGGGTGGAGTAGTGGGAGGTGAACTCAAAGATGCAGACACGATCGAAAGCGGGACCGACGGGGCACGTGGCGTGGGGAGAAGAGGGGCGTGGGGAGGGGCCAGGAGACTCAGCAAGGCATGGGCACATGGCGTAGTTGGTTATTACGCCCACTTAGCATTTCATTGGCTTTAACAAATCTGCGGGCAGTCCCCGGTTCAATTCCGGGTGTGTCCAATCGTACCATGAGCGGAGATTTTTACTTTCTTTTGTTTTTCCATCACAACATATTCGTAATGTATATAAATGCACCCCCGCTGTTCTCCACGACCAACGCACCTTCTCCCCAAAGTCTAATTATCCTGTACAACTCACAGCCGAGAAATTGCATTCCGCCTTCAGCCAACCGAATGTTTGCGTCCTGTACCGCCGTTGTGATCACCCTACCATTCTTTCGAGCAACACATCGCTATCCTTTCCGTTCATCGCCTCTCCTGTGATCTGTCGCTGGGCGCGAAAGCTCATGAACCTTCTACTTTTACCAACTTTATTATTATAATGCACGAAGGAATCACGGGTATGGAGAAATCGAGGAGGATGGGAATGGGAGTGCTTGAAAGCGAGAAGGTATGGGAACGTCAAGACACGAACACGTCTGTCATTTGTTCTGGTGCCTTCTGATGCCGAGGGCAACATCCTAATAACGCGTCCCCTTGTTATGTACGTGACGGTATGTTCTTTTCCATGCGACTTTTCATCCCCCGAATCCCAGAATCCAGATTGACATTCGATTCAAGTTCAGAACCTGGAGGATCTCGTACCCATCACATTCCCAACTTTTCCAGTTCTCTGTGGACGCGAACCTGGTTTTTGGAACGTCGGCGCTGGATATCTGCCGTGGGCATTGGATCGAGATCGAGGAGAGCGCATACGAGCCCCGGGCCCTTCTTGAGCTCTTGGACGAGATCAGGTCTCTGTCGGTATTCGCGAGGGCTACGATGCTACTTCCAGTGTGCTAGTGCGTCTTACACTGTTTATCTGTCTGTCGGATGCCCACCCTCTGATCGCCTATCTTTCTATCTCTCTCTAGCTGAAAGACGTCGGAGCAAAGCACGCGACCCCGGACCAGGCCCGAAGCCCGAGTCCCCCAAGGCTCCTGGCCGTCAGCTTGTCAAGCCCGGTCCTGAACCTGCGATAAAACACGAGGAAGAGGAAGAGTAGGCAGAGCAGGCGCCCGAACCCCCCCACCCCCCAGTACATTTCTATTGCGAGGAGCAGCTAGATGGCTATACCATCTGCGTCGGGCTCCCAGGGCGGGAGCCAGATTTTTGGCAGTGTCAAGATGGAGGGAAGGGGCGAAGGGGAAGACAAGGGTTGATCGAGATCGGGCGCAATGTGCGTTTTTCCTTTGTTCAAATCCGTGATTCTCAGGTGGCTAATGATGAAAACAATATAATATAGTATCCATCATCGGCGCTGCCCGCCTCCCAATCGTGTCTGCACGCCCCAGGAGCTCATGAAATACCATCATGCCCACCACCTCCCTCAATTGACAAGTTTGTTTATTACTTGTTACCGGCATTCAAACACTTCGTAGCCTCCGTGTGCGGTCCCAATAGAGGCGCAGTGGCGCATTTCGGGACACGTGTGGGGTACATGATCATGCACATTCCCGAAGCAGTCTTGCGACCCTACAATACGAAGCATGAATTGCGAGGTACGCCGACGATCTGGAGTCGTGAATGTCATAGTGGAGGTCCAGTGGGACTGCTTGAAGCGGGCGGGGGTTGCTGTAGGTATGTTAAGAGGCAATTGGAAGGTATGGAAGTAGGTCGGGCGTAGGAAGTTCGAAGAGACTCACTACAGATACACACAAGAGTATCTGGTCTTCACGCCCTCTTTGCAGTGGAATATGATGGTGTAATTGTGGCTAATGTGCACTTACTTCTGGGATACGCGAGCCCGATTAAGGCAAGTAACCACTCGCGACCGGATTTCCCTTTCTTTTACTGAAATTGTGTACGCTGTGTGCATGCTGTAAACTGGTTATTTTTGAATATATCAATGAATGGGGGGGTGTACATGGTGTTCCCGAGACCCTTGAGGGATACTGTAGTACTACTGTAGGTTTCTTTGTGGTAGGAATAACGAGCCTAGTTACGGTGGTCGGAAACTATTATCTTCGCGTCGGGACCCTTGGGGATCTCCTGCGCCACTGAATGCCGGGAGTGAAACTTCCTGAAGTGTCGGGCTCCCGAGACTTGGGGATCTGACTATTCGATTGATAAGAAGTGGAACGACCATCGGATACATAGCCTGCGTCACAATATATCCCCAGTTTTACTTTAAGTAGTATTGGTTGAACTTACAAGAACGAAAGTATAGACGTCTATAAGAATCACATCAGGAAAAACAGATTTTGCCGTAGATTTGCCGAAATTATATAGCGGCGGTAGGTCACTGTAGGTCCATGTAGGTCAATATAGGTGTTGAGGTTCCTCCATAGAATACACTGCTCACCTAAGACAAGATGACTTTTGTACAGTG